GCCTATTGTTCCCATTGCCTTAAAAATTCCGTCTACCCAAAGCTCATTCTCAGACAGCAGCCTCATTTCTTGTACCTAGGCTCCGCTCATCATAGGAAGCTGTAATTTAGTCAGCCCTAGAGCATTACAAAAAGACATTTCGGAGAGCTTCCCTTGTATCCCGAGCTCTTGCTCCACTTTTCTCCACGAGGAGCTTGGCTCGTGATTCAAAACTAAAACCCTGACTTGTCCCTGGGTGCTCCCGCCAGGACTCCAGCTCTCTATTTCACATGGAGGCTTCGGAAGTAGCTCAGGTTAAAAGCCAAGTGAGACAGGTACTTCTGCCACACAGCATTGGAAAGCATGCTCCTGCTAGAACAAAATTAAATATTTTCTTTCATTTTTGAATAGGATCATTGATTTTGTACATAGATTTGGTAATGCAGAATTTTAACGAACTTTAATGATCTTTTCAGTTCCTGGGGCTCTGAGCCTCTTGTGCAAAATATTCCTGAATCACTTTCAGGACTTCTTGCATGCATGCATTTTTGATTATCACTTTTGTCCTTTTTGTTTTCTTGAGCGCAGCTGCATAAAATGGATTAATACTGGTATTGTTTTGCAATCTTATTTTAGCCACTGAACAAGTAGGGAGTGTTTCAGATATAAGCTGTAGTCCAAGGCGAGCTGTTGTGTCTTCAAAGGATGATCTTTGATCTTCCTTAGTGTGCTTCCTCAAGCAGCCCATGTGTTTTGTGGTTGCCAGAATCTGTGTCTGAATCTTGTTGGTAAGGTCCAAGAATTTTGATAAGGTTAGAGGGTCTGATTCTTTGTAGAAAGTGTTTGCCAGTCTTCGGTGCTGCATCCGTAGCTAAAGTTTAATTTGTGATGCTGGAGGTGTTCATTTGTGGCCACTTCACAGAAAGAGGTTGGACTTTTGCCAGTGAGTTGCCAAGAGAGGAGAAGTAATCTTTTTTTACTTTCTTCTTAAAAATGTGAAAAATAGCTGCCAGAGCAATAATTTCCCCCAATTTCTCTCTCGCAGAGAACCTTGTTGTTTGCCATAGTTGACCTTCTGGTTTCAGGGAATGGTAAAAGCTCTTATGTTACTGCTTTCTGAATTTTGAGGTAGTCCTTGGTATTTGTTTTAATAGTTTTGTGTTTTTCTAAGCCAAAATCATATAATATAAACAAATCATTAAGATTACTACTTTTTTGGAGAAATTGGCCTGAGTCATTATCCAGCTGATTAATGAATCATCATCAGTGGCAATTAACAACACAACCTTAAACATTCTCTCTGCCTCTTAACTTGGGATTCTCAGTCCCCAGAGTTTCTGAGTCAGTAGGATTAGGTGGGGCCCAGGAATTTGCATTTCTATCAGATTCCCAGGTGATAACCATTGTTTCTGGTTTTACTTATTTTGATAAGGGCTCAAGGTTCTAGGTTCTTTAAGAAATTTTACATCTTAAATTATATTCTTCTGTGAATAGCGAGCCTTCTTAAACAGTCTAGGTCACAGTGTCATCTTGCCCTGGTCGGAAAAAAATGTTAGCAGATGGCTTTTTGTGAGTGCCACACAGCATCCAAGTAGTGGAGGTGGGTAGCTCTTTGGAGGTGAAGGTGTTGTACACAGCCTGCGCCATATACCTGTTAAGAGGCTGAGTAGCAGAGCTTGGAGTATGCTGTGCTTTATCCTTGAATTTTTCCGGATGTGTTTGAGAGCCGAGATAAGCAGCATCACTAGTCTTATGATTGTATAACATTGGAAAACTGACAAATGCCAAAAGGGTAAAATGTTTTATGGCATCTAGAATGTGAACTTGAGTTATACGGTTTATTAGGATAGAATCCTAGTGTAAATTTGGCCATTGTGTCAAATGAGAATTTTAATTTTAGTCTTTGTCAGAGTTAGTGTCAATCCTTGAGATAAAAAGTACTAAAACAACATTTCATCAGAAAGCTTGCAGGAATGTGGCAAGACTCTCGCACAGTCTTGAATGTCTCTACCCAACTGCAGCTACCTTGAATCTTCACTAAAATAGGAAGAACTTTCCAACGCAAGTGTTGGTCCGAGTGTCCTTTTTGATATCTGCTAGTGAGAGGCCTTCTGGGAGAGATTGTCCTTTAATGCAATTCACAGTGAAAGGACATCTTTTCATGTATTTATCAGCATTTCTGTTTGCCCAGTGCATTTCCTCACATGTTAAAATGAAAACTGTCCAGTCTAGTGATCCATATGTGAAGTATTTTATCAGATCATGCCAGGGGGTCAGTGGAAGCCTATTGACAGCCAGTGTGTACGAGGCATGCATACAGTGAAATGTTTTAATTTTACTTCAAAAGGGCAGGGATGTTGCCGGAGCAGCGGCTTGCAAGCAGCCCAGCATGAGGGGGTGGAAGGCCACTGGAGAGTTTACTTTGGTTCAGTTCCACAGACGCTCAGCTACAGTTTTAGAGTCGGTTTCCCAATTGCAGGGCTCTCTTCAGAGGTGCAGTGTGCCAAGTCACACATGGAGTTGGTTTTCGTGGTCTTCAGGGTTTGGGGCTATTCAGCGCTCTCTGAAGTCCAGACATGAGGATGGAGGCCTAGGGGAAGAGTGAGAAGTGCTATTAATAATTCATTTGTGAAAGGGGTTTCTATTTAGTTAAAGTATCAAGTAAGCAACCCAGATAATGTCTAGAATTAACTAAATTTTAAAAAAAATTTTTGAGTGTTTTTGCTGAGTCAGTTTTTACTCATTTTAAGCAGAGATGATATTTAAAATTCAGATGAAATTTTAGAGAACAAATAGCCTATATGTTGCTTGACAAAGTATCTTTCAAAAAAATTTTTAAACATTTACATGGTGAGATAAATTGGGGAAGTCTCTTTTTTTTTTAAATTGCCTCGTTTGTATTTATAGGACAGTAGGTCTTCTAAACTCGTTACTGAGGTTCCAAAATTTCAGAAATAAAATGATCTTTTAAGAAGAAATAAAGCAATTGTAGACTCAGAACTTGTGATTTTACTTTATATTCCTCTCCCCCACAGTAGGTGAGATGGTGCTTGGGATGCATAAGTTTGATTCAGTTGGCATTTTCAGCTGGGCTTTCTCTGAGAAAGTCTCTAGTTATTTCCCCTGGGCCTCTCAGTTCTGGGTAGCCTTTATTTTATTTTATTTTTAAATTTAAAAAATACTAGTAAAAGCAATTTTGAAAAAAAGTTCACTTTCCCACAACCATTGGCTTTTTTTTCTTGGAGTGGGGGGTATTTTTTTTTCTTGGTTTAATGACAAATATTTTCCAAAGCTGTAATCATAGTATAAACTTTTGTGCTTTTTTTAAAACTTAAAATTGTATCACAATTTCTTCACATTGTGAAGTTTTCATAAGTTATTTTGAAGTTACTTCGACTGTTTAATGTTCTGTTGAAATGATGAACTATAATTTACCGATTCCTAGATATTAAAATCTTGAGGTTGATTTTGAATATTGGTGTATTTGTCAGTGTAGCAGTGAATATCTTGTTGATTCGACTTTTATTCTTCTGTTGAAAGTAGTGTAAAAAATTTTAATTTTTATGGTGTTTGATATGTTTTGCTAACTTTTTAACTATTTTTGATTTGGTTTTTAGAATTCAGGGACCATCTCTAAATTTACTAAATGGAGAATTAAAAATTACATGAGGCGTAAAAATACTAAGCCTTCTAACCCAGGAATAACTTTCCAGGTTCTGGTTGGCTCCAGTAGTAATAGTTATTTCCGTTGAGAACCTTCTGTGTGCTAGGTGCTCAGATATCTTATTGTCTTCTGGCATTGTAGGTAGTATTGATTAAATTGGGGAAAATAGTTACCAGAACCAGAATAGTACCCTTGAGCCTGAATTAGTGAACTAAAAATAAGTTTAGTTTCTTAGCCATAGGATTTGGTTTATTAAATTGCAGGCGAGGCCACAAGCTCCCAAACCACAGAGCACCACGACTTTTTTCTCTAGTGTTAGCAGAGCGGTGTTATTCAGGCTGCTGGCTCCATTTGTAAACTGAATCATGCCCTGCTTGGCTTTGAGTGCCTGGTAACAATGTGCCTTAATTGTGGGTCAGTGAAGCCAAACTAATTGCTTGTTGGGCACTTGGATTGCCTTTTTAATTTGCTGTATAATGCAGTCTCTACCAGAAATACACAATATGTCCTTATCTAAATAAAACTCATTAAAATCATCTCACAAACAAAAGAACTCCTGATGTTTTGTCCATAATCTTGCAAATAAGGGAAAATTGAATTGCATTCTAGAGCACTGTAATTTATAAGTACTCCATTTTAAGTGCCTTTGTATTTGTTTTAGAGGTTATATATAAAACGACTGCTATGATTTATGTCAGTGTGGTAGTTTTTTTCACTAGAGATTGTTTTGCTTTGCACTTTTAATGTTTTAAATCACAGTAATGACATGAGCTTCTGAGATGGTCACTTATTTTATCGTTCCAATTTCAGTATGTGTGCTGCCGAAGCAAGCACAGGTCACTTATTTTAGACTGTGCAATTCACCCAATAAGATTAGCTTTCATCCAATTACTTTGTATTTCAGTAAAAAAAAGACATTTACACTGTTATTCTCAGCTCACAAAATACCAATCATAGGAGTTACCTTTACAATTTTAGGAACCAGTTGTTCATAAGTTGGTAAGATATTTAGCACTCTGTAGTATTTGTTGTCTCAGTTTCTCTGGACTAACAAGGCAGCTCTGCAGAGGACTTTCTTTCGACTCTGATTACTAATTTCATTTATTTAGCTAATATTTATTGAGCAGCTACTGAATGCCAGCAACTGTTGTAGGTGTTAGTGATACTACAGTTTATTTTTTGTATTTATGATAAATCTTTAACCCTAGAGAAAAATCTCTGAAGTGACTCTTAAGTGCTTTTCAAATAGTTTTTAAAATAGAGGAATTTAATTAAGAAGGTTTTTAAAAATTTAATAGATGCCTATTGGTTTTTTAATAGAAATTCATTCATTACCTGTTTTTCTTTTCTTTTTTAGGTTATTTCTTATGAGAGTCATGGATATCCCCTATCTAAACTTGGAAGGACCAGACTGTAAGTGAAATTTTATTTTCTCATGCATCTGCACATTTAAGTGTGTGGTCTGGAAGGGATAACAGGAAAAGTATTATTGAAGAAAGAGCTTTATTCACTTAAAAATAGGCAGTGGTTTTCTGGTTGATATGAATAGTATGCTTAAGTTAATGGTACCCTTGGGCCTTTATTAACTCATCTTTTTCCTTCATTTTCTAGTTTATGCATGAATTGAAAAAAAAAACTCCATTATTTCTTTTCACTCAAAACTCTAAATTCGTAATTCCCCGTAAACATGTCTATATTTTAAGATGTGTTAGCTGTGTCAGTGACAATAAGTTCTCTGTTTTCCAATTATTTAAGCTTGGTAGGTTGATTTTTTTTTTTTTTTTTTTTTTCCGAATTGAAAACTTTGGAAGGTCAGTCTATTTGAGAGATGGTTGCTTCTTCTGATTATTCACTACTTTATCTGCTTTGCCCCATTCTTCTTTTCCTGGCCTTGGTTTATTTGCCTTAATACATGCCACAGGGATATAGAAATGGGTGAACTATACTCGGTGATAATAATCATTGCAGTGATATTGATTTGAGGACAAACTCTTGCACCTCTCTATAGACTTACATTTCAATCTGTCATTCTCGCAACAGTTCTGCAAGCTGTTGTCATTCCCAGTTTATAGCCATGAGTGACTAATGTGGTTAGGTCTCTTGCTCAGAGTTAAACAGTTAAGTGGTGGGTCTGGGACTGGAACACAAGATTATGACTCAGGACTGCATATACTTAAAGTAGTCCATTCAATTTAGACAGTGCATTTTTTTTTTTATAGTGAAATAAACATGTGGACAACTAAATTAAAAGGAGAAAGTGAAATGTTTGGTGAAACTTATCAAACAGAGCAGCTGTGTTTATTTCTTTAATTTTTGCAGGAACTTCATGAGCAGAGATGTTTCTGCATAGAAATGCTAGGGTTCAAATTGTTGTTGGTTCTATAAAGTGTCAGAGCCTGATGTCTGGGCTGAGATGGCAGAGTCTTACTGTTCCTACGTTCCTACGAATGCTTTTGGGAGTTGTCTGGTAATCAGGACGGTTCCCTGAGTTAGCTTGGGCTTAGTTTCCTCAAAGAACCCCTAGTGTGTTGTTCACTTTCCGTCTGTCAACCTTTCATCTAAAATTTGTCCTGTAGTGCAACCTAAGCGCGATCATGTCCTCCATGTGACATTCCCCAAAGAATGGAAAACCAGCGACCTTTACCAACTTTTCAGTGCCTTTGGTGAGTAAATCACAAGTACAATTGTACTTTTAGGATTTTGTTATTCTTTTGGTGTAGGTGATCAGAGTTATGTAGAAGGCTTTAGTTGGGGCATAAAATAATATTAATGTACAAGGTTTTAATTTCATGGAATTTTGGGGGTTTGGCATACTGCTGTCTTTGTGCCAATATGATCTGAGGAACTTTTAATAGCACCCCACAATAGAGTGCTATTATTAATCCTTGCAAAGCAAGATACAATTACTGTGACTGCTCTTCCTGCTGACCACAGTAAATAAGTCTAGGTTGAGGATAAATCATTTTTAAGATTAAGGGCAGTTGGTCGCATACTGCTTAACATTGAATAGTCCAAACAGAAAATACAGATGTATGAGAGGACCGAGATATGTGATATGTGTGAGGTAGGGCAGTTTCTATTCTTTTTTATCAAGTTAGATAATTAGGTTAAATTGAACAGTTTTCTGATTAGGGTTTATAAAGACCATTCTGTTGTAAGTCTTCAGCATTGCTTATTGATTTTAACAAATGAAGTATTTAGGCTGTTCTCTTTGGATATTTTTGGATAAAGTGAAGGCAGCAAAAACCTAAATGTCTAATAGTGAGAATGTTTAGTAAATATTTATGTATTTCTTCAATAGACCAGTATGTAGCCATTTAAAAAATACTTGAAGGAATTTATTGTAAGATGGTAAAGTGTTTATATTTTAACATTTAGGGTAAAAAGCAGATACAAAGTAGGATTCCTGTATAACTAATGTTATTTTTTTAAAAACTTTATATAGAAATCAGACTGAAATGAAGCATCATGTTATTATCAACTGAATTTTTTCGTTTGTTTCTAGATTTTTAATTTTATTTTTAGTTTCAAGTATACAGTACATTGGTTAGGCATATATAGTTTATAAAAATGATCCTCCTGATTGCTCTCTCTGGCTCTCCACCTAGCTATTACATTAGTGCTAACTGCATTCCCTATGCCATGCTCCCCATCCCTGTGACCATCTATCAGCTACTAATTTGTACTTCTTTAACCCTTTACCCCATTCTCCCAGCCCTCCAACCCCCCTTTTCTGGCCATCACCAGATTGTCCTCTATATTTGTGAGTCTATTTTTGATTGGTTTGTTCCTTTTTGTTTCTTAGAGTCTGCATATAAGTGAAATCATACGGTATTTATCTTTCTCTGACTTATTTCACTCAGCATAATAACCTCTAGGTCCATCCATGTCATTGCAAATGGTAGGATTTCATTTTTTTAGTGGCTAATATTCCATTGTAGATATGAACCATAACTTCTTTATCCAATTGTCTGTTGATGGGCATTTAGGTTGCTTCTATATTTTAGCTATTGTAAATTGTGCTGCTGTGAACATAGGGCTGTGTAGATATTTACGTATTATTGTTTTGGTTTTCTTTGGATAAATACTCATAAGTGCAATTGCTGGGTCAAAAGGCATATCCATTTTTAATTTTTTGAGAACCCTCCAGACTGTTTTCCATAGTGGCTGTACCAATTTGCATTCCCACCAATAGTGTATGAGAGTTCCGTTTTCTCCACATCCTTGCTAACACTTGTTCTTTGATCACTGAATGTTTTAGATAGGATTTTTTCTTCTTCTTTATACTTTCTGTATTTTCTAAAATTAGCATATATTAACTTTTGTAAGTAAAAAACTTTACACACTTAAATTTTGGAAAAGTAAGTGAAAGCATGTCTATTTCTGGAAAGTTATCCTAATCTTTGCAGATAGTCTGAATTCTGAAATTCTAGTTCTGCTTTTTAACTTAGACACAGATCTAGAAATGCAATTGAATCTTACAGCTCATTTCTTTTGAAAGCTTTTGATTTTGTTTCTCATCTGTATTGTTAAGTTCTTATCCCTGTGTAGTCAAACTTTAATTGGCTAAATTAAATAGAATGCTCTGAGTAGGATTTTCTTGTTTCGTTTTAATTAAAAAAGATGAGCTGTGCGATATTGGACTAGTAACCTCTATTTTTGTTTTCTATTGGAGCTGATGATGATGATGGTGATAATAATGGTAATAATGAAAATAATAATAATACCACCTATTTCATGAGGATTAAATGATCTAACCCATGGAAGACGTTTAGAATAGTATGTGGCATACAGTAACTACTTAATAAATGGTAGCTATTATTTATCTCAAAGACAACATACACACAGGGTAGAAAGGTAACAAAATAATAGTAAGTGACTTTCTATGAGAAAGTCATTAAGGTACCTCACTATATGCAGCAGGAAGTGAGTTTTTCTCCTGTGACAGTGAAACAAAGGAGCTTTCTGGCCTTCGAAAATTGTAGTTGGAATTAAAACATTTTTTCATTGTTAAATTCCAGTGAGTTTACCCATTTTTAAAAATTCCAGTTTTCTGTTATTTTTCAAAAAGAGCGGTAGCAGCATAATTAGATCTCTGCTTTCCCCTCCAGTTTTGTCCAACTTCCTACCCCACTGAGCCCTCCTCCTTTTTTTCTGTTCAGCACTGTTTTCCACTGTTTGCATTTAGCCTTTATTGAGGATTTGTCTCTCTCTGAAAATCTTTTTGTTTTACTCTACGGCTTTCTGCCCCTCTCTTTTTTTCTTTTCTCTATTAGTCTGTCTTGGTTTTCTCTCTCTGATGCCTTTTTTCTCTTGTCCTTCATTTTGCTACCTGTTTTCTTTACCTGGCCTTGAGATCAACACTGATTTTTTTCCTTATTTCTTGCTACCTTGATTCATTTCATGTATACCATTGATAATTTTCAAACTTTGTGTCTCTAAAAAGAAATACCTGTGTTTTTGAACTTAGTGGCCTCTGATTTTTGTTAGTGATCTTGATAGGAACAAAGTCTCCAGCTCTGGCATGAGATTGGGTTAAATGATGAAGTGCCTCAGGATTGAATTCAGAAAGATCTTTCTTTTGCTTTTAAAACAAATTTTTAAAGTCCCCCTCCCCCATTTGTCTTTTTTCTTAAAGTTTTAACTGAAATAACTGCTGTGGTAGATTTAAATTTTTGCCTTTTGTAGTGCTGAGATATTAATCAAATTTTAAACCAGTACCCCTTCTCACTCTAATTAACATGTATACTTAAACATCAGAGATATAAATGAAATCTGATAGCTATCTAAATGGTCAAATGTTCACTTTACTTTTAATTCAATATTACAGGTAACATTCAGATATCCTGGATTGATGACACATCAGCATTTGTTTCTCTCAGCCAGCCTGATCAAGTACAAATTGGTAAGCGTTTTTGACATTGTTTTGTGTATTCATTAAAGTGGGGGCCTGCTTTCTGCCACCACATAGGTGCAGTCAGCTGATTCACAAGCCTTGCTGCCTGGTTTCTTTTGAGGTTGTCTCCAAAATAAAGGAAATAATTAGTAAGTCATGTGTAGATGAGAAAAAAATAAGACAAATTTATTAATTCATTGGTATACTACATAATATTATCTTTTTTCAGTTAGCTCCATTCTGTTCTTCTCCCATTGTACTTTTTCTAAAATGAGTTGCAGATTTACTTTTAGAATTATAAAAAGCAAATTGAGAGGAATGGGGGACATCAAAAAGTGATACCTGTATTGACCTGTTTGTCTTTTCCCATGGTTTAGAAATTTTTGCGATTTATTCATTCCATTATACTTGTATCAAATACCTTTTTCCCAAACAAATAAAGATATTTCGTTTGCTTTTAAAATAAGATTGTAAAAAGATCGAGCACCATATCTCTTGTTGGACCCTAAATAATTTTGATATTTACCATCATAAAACATTCTATTTTCTTAGGATGAAAAGTTATTGAATAAAAAACTGAAGAAAATGTGTAGTGGTAAGCTACATGTTTTATTCAAATAGATTTCAAATTCCCTGGTACTTAACAATGTACAAAGTGTAAAATTTTTAAGCAATATGTTTAATTAATTTCTTTTTCTTTAACAAAGTGCCACATACTAAAACTATATAATTCTGATACTGTAACTATATGAGTAATTATATATGAAAACTTCTACAAACATACACATTGAAATCAGAGGATTTTGGTATTTTTTAAAATCATATGGCTATCACAGGCACATAGGCTATGGTAGAGATGAAAAGTTTAGGCTCTAGAATCATAACTGCTATACTCCCTATAGTTGTGTGACCTTGGGCAAGTTCTTTAACCTTGATAAGCTTCTGCTTATCTCCATAAATCGAGGATGGTAGTATGGACTTCATAGGGTTAATGTGAGGATTACATGAGAATGCGTACATAAAGCTTGACAGAGCTTCGAACTTTTATTATGGTTATTTAATAGTAGATTTCAAGGTTAAATATACTTCATGAGCATATGACATCAGGAATAGCATCGGATGCAGACTGTGAATGATGTTGCTTGTTAAAGTTTTTAAATTTCACTTATTTCTGTGATCTGTTCTTCTACAATCTTTAGAAAGACAGTTTAGATGGAATCCAAAGGGATTGAGTTATTAGAAAACTAAAGATAAGTTCAAGTGGTGGGCAGGGACTCTAAGGTTAAGACTCTACTGATACTTCAGTGAGGCTGAAAGAACACCGAATGAGAATTCCTGACCCAAAGTCTAGTCACACTTCCTCTGCTCAGTGTCACACTTCAGTTCCTTCGCTGTTCAGACTTGGGTGGCATTGAAGCCACGCAGTGGATGGATGGAGGTACACAGGCATTGAAGTCAGACTGGCCTGGGGACTAACCTTGCCTCCGCCACTTGTCAGTTGTGTGTCTTTGGGCAAGGTATGTAAACTCTCTAAGCCACAGGTTCCTCCTTTGAGAGAGGGAAATGATGATAGTAACTCTGAGGTGAGGTCATGGATATTAAGTCCCCACTAAAGTGCTTGCCACTCCACAAGCGGTGCCTGACAAATGGCAGGTGATTATTAAGATACCTGCTTAACCTCCCTTGCTGTAAACAGTAAAAATGAGGGAGTGTAAAAGTGCTTTGACATCTGTAAAACACTAGTTAGCAGTATTTACTTGGAAATGCAAGCATACTTTTTGTTTATGTGTATGGAGTGTCATATTTGATGTCCAATAATGATTGCTCCCTTACTTATTATTGCAAGATTCTTCAAACAGTGGCTTTTAAGCTCAGTATTTTATTCAATGATACCTGAAATCAGGGCGCTGCATTTCAGAATCAGGCAGCCAGAAGAGCTCTAATTTGGTTGTGTGTTTCTTCCCTGAGGGAATCCATCTTATTTGCCATTGAATCCTTCTCTAGTGCCTGACACACTGTGGCCTGAATAAAATAAACGTGTGTTTGAATGGGCATATGAGGAATAGGCCAAGATGAAATTGTGACCTTTTTACCTTTCTTCCTCCTAGATTAAGAAGTAGGTTAACTGTTGTCTTTTGATATATACAGCCTTACCAGTAAAGTCTAATTTTCCACTGTCATCTCTTTTCTTACACAGAAGGCAACTCTCAAAATAAATACCTGGCCATTTGCATGTGCTGTGCCTGTGACCACAGTTTTCTTTGGCAGAAGTGATCTTTTAGTCAACCATGCCCTCCCTCCAGGCTGTGTCCTACTTCCCTCTTCATCTCAGCTTGAACATCTGCTTCTCTGTCTCCCTTTGCACGGGTCTGGACCCCATTTTCTGTGCTAGCCTGGCATCCTTTCTGACACACCTGGTTTGGTGGTCTTCTCTAATAGACTGTAAACTCTTTGAGAGCAGGGACCATATCTCTTGTTCACCATTGTGTTTTCAGTGCTTAGAGAAGTGGTGTCTGACATTAGTAAGTGTATGTTAAATATTTGTTGAGCTGATATTCAGGGCATTATGACTTAGAAATGCCTCTTGCACGTGATAGATATATCTAAGGTCTCTGGTCTTTTGCTGTGATTTCTAAAATTATGCGGCTGTTTCGTTGAAAGACACAATGTAAAGTTCTTTATAGTGATAATTCTAAAGATAAGAAAGACCCAGGGTCTCTAATGTGCTTCAAATCCTATTAATGTTGTTTTAAACAAATTACTTATTCATTTCTGTGGAAGCAGAGAACCTATTAGATCAATAATGTAACATTGGAAAAATCATTAAATGCCTATTTATATAGCAGCTCGTAATGGCTTCTTTGGCTCTGTTTCAAACTATTTTTGATTTAAGGAGTTACTTTTTAACTGACACCTGTCTTTTTCTTTTGATAATACTAATTCTAATCAAGATTTTTAAAAAATCATTGTCAACATCTTGAATATGAGAGTTCTCTTTTTCTAGGAAACCTTATTATACGAATTACTAAAACCCTTCTACCAAGTGCCATCCATGTATTTTGATTCTTGTTGTTTTTTGTTTGCTGCTGCTGTGAAAGTGAGAGCCCGTGGTGGCTTTGGGATTTCAGATAGCGATAAGCCATAGAAGCCATAGAGTCAGCCTCCTTCCCCTCTGGCTCTTCAGATAAGACAGTAGGTGGCCAATGTGGGACTTGATGCCCATGGGGAAAGATCACCCAGCCTCATCATTTGAGGATTTTTCTCAGAGTAGCCAAGTAAGAAATCACCTTTCTTATTCTTATATAAGCTCATTCTTATATAAGAATTTATATTTCTAATGTAGTTTTGTTAAATGAGGGAAGAGCTCAAAATTATTTAGAAAGTAGTTGAACTTTCTAGTCATACTCTCAAAATTTAGACATTGTCTTGAGTGTCCTTAAATACATTATAAGACATTTCTCTCTGCTTATAATTTTTATAGGAACAGCTTGAGACAAATAACCTTTTCATTTATTTAGGTTGGAGCACACTATGAATTGATAAAGATACTTTTAGAAGAGTTAGAACCTAACAATTATTTTGTAAAGCCAGCCTAAATTCAGATAGTTGTATAAATTCCTGAAATGCTGCTTTAGGAGCTTGTTCAGGATGATTTGTTGAGATGGGGGCATGGGGAAGGTGATTGCATATATTAAATCAGACTTTTAAAAGCACAGCTTTTGTTTGATTGTGTTGAACAGATAAATATTAAAATGAGTTGTAGATACAACTCTTTTTAGGTGATTATTCAGCACTGCATTTGCTAAAAGGCAGCTTGGAACTCTAAACTTCACCTGTGCTTTTTGTTATCCTTTTAATGTTTGCAGAATCTGTGGTAATAACTGCTTTTCATTTGTGATGTTGGTGATTTGTGTTCTTGTTTTTTCCTTGATCACTCTAGCTAGGGGTTACTGATTTTGTTGATCTTTTTAAAAAAACGTTTGGCTTATCTTGTTTTCTGTGTTGTTTGCTATTGTCTATTTCATTGGTTTCTGCCTTTTTTTTCCTTTTTCCTTTCTTTTCCTTGCTTTGAGTTTACTTTGCTCCCCACCCCCCTCAGCTTTTTGAGGTAGAACTTTATGTGATTGACTGTTTAAAGTTCTTCTAAAATTTTTTTAAGTCTGGCTTCCTAGAAGTTACCCCTGGGTTAGTATAGCTTAGTGGTCGGCCAGTGGTTGGTCAGGTGTGATGCCGAAACACCTGGATCCAGCAGGGCTTCCACTCTTCACCAGCTGGGTTGGGAAATACATTCAGCACCGAGGCAGCTTCCACGTCTGCCTTAGTTTTCACTTTTGGCTGGAACTTTTTGTCTCCTCTGTGGGCTCACAAGGCCTCATGCCCAGCCAACAGTGTGTATATAAGCCAAGATTCTTAAAATCACTGAATTTGACTTTTTCAATTCTAATATAAGCGTTTAAAGCTATAAATATCCTCTAAGCATTGCTTTAGGTACACCTCAACAAATTACATGTTGTCTTTTCATTATCATTAAGTTAAATAAATTATCTAATTTTTCCTTTGACTCTGGATTATTTAGAAGAGTGTGTTGTTTAATTTACAACTACTTAGAGTTTTCCTAGATCTCTTATAAATTACTAATTTCTGATTTAATTCTGTTGTGATTAGAGATTTCAGTCCTTTAAAATTTACTGATTCTTGCTTTATAGCATAAGGTCTATCTTGCTGAACATACTATGTGCACTTGAAAAGAGATATTCCACATATGGTTTGCTATATGGTTTGGTCTATAAATATCACTGTTGTTCAGGTATTCACTGTCTTTACTGATATTTTATTTAGTAATTCTATCAAATTTTGAGAGGAGGTATTAAAATCTATGATTGTGTCTATTTTCCCCTTTAAGATTTCATGTCATGTATTTTGAGGCTGTTTTATTAAGTGCATACATATTTATGATTGTTTTGTCTTCCTGATAAATTGACTCCTTTGTTATTATGAAATGTCTCTCT